TCTAAAAGAGTCCAGTAGCCCATAATAGCATTGGGTCTTCTGTTTAACTGGCAATGTCAGAAATTATTGACCTGAGTCCCCCACAGCTCAACCAAAGAGTTTTCTTGAGCCTGAAAGGATAGAGTTTAAGGACAAAGCATTAATGGGGCTAGAACTCTGATCTGTCACTTTTCAAACTCTCAGCCTAACTCCACCCAGAAGATTATATGAGCTTGAACTAGATTTGGAGCGAGTGGAGCGGGGCTGTTCCCGCTACTAGTGGAGTGATTTCATCCTGGAGGATGTTGTAGTGACTGACCCAAAACCGTGTGAGGACCTTCCCTCCTTGATACATAAGGAGCACTGGCCAATGGTAACTTCTGGCTACACCCTGTTGCAACAGATGGAGATTTTCACAAGGATATCATGGTGTTGGTGCTGCAAAACACCTGCATCCATGGTGAAGGCTTACTACCATCTCCAAGCAGCTTGCCTCCCCATACCTGAGAGTCCAGTGCCAGGCCAGAAACATCACAATGTGTTGGGGAAGGGCTCATCAAAGATGCCAGGGGCACCAAGGCTCAGGAGACTATCCAGATGCTGAGTGCTGGCTCAGGATGGAGGGATACAGGGGCACCTTGAGTGGATGACAAGGGAGTGGAAAGCTGAGGGGCCTAGTTGAAACGCATATCACACTAGCAAGTACTAGAAGTAAAGCCACATCTCTGAGCTGACTACGAGCTTGGTTGACATCCTCGAAGAGTAGCCAAGGACAGGATCATCAGTGTGCATTGGACTGCACACACTGGCAGTGATAGAGAGTACATTCCATGTGTGAGGTTGCTAAGAGGCTCAGCTTTTGCTGCATCTCAGGCACTTTAGAAAAGGACCAGAAGGGGCCGGGGAGATGGCTCATTGGAATAAGCACTTCCCTGGCAAGCTCAAGGGCCTGAGTTTGATCCCTGGTTCTGAAGAAAAAAAAAAAAAAAAAAAAAAAAAAAAAAAAAAGAGAGAGAGAGAGAGAGAGAGAGAGAAAGAAAGAAAAGGACCAGAGCAAGGGGTAGTAGAGAGCATGGTAGAGAGCATAGAGTAAAGAGTGCTGGCATTTGGCCATGTAGGAAATACTGGTGTAGATCAATGGCCATGGCACTCTGGGAGCCACAGGCTTTTCCTAAAGCCATAGCAATAACCTGTGCTGTGTCATAGCAGCATCGACAGGCATAGTACCTCCCTTTTAGGAATTCCCTGCACTCATCAGAATGGAACACAGAATAGTACCTTGACACTGAGCACGTCCTGCTTAACTCCACCCTTACCTGATCCTTCTGGAACTCTGTAGATTTGGCACTTCGATGTTTTTAGTCTTTATCAGTTCTTTATTAGTCTTTGTGTTATTCCAAAATTCTGCTGACTGACATAGGTACACATGTGCACATATGGTGTACTGCTCTACTCCTCTCTTGTAAATATCTTGAGTCGAGCATCTTAGCTCAGGCCCATCCCACCTTCTCTGGAAACCAAGCACATGCCCCCTCGGGTTCTCCACACTGCTCAGGGCCACTCTCATATGCTGTGACATTCCTCAGACCCTTCAAAGGCTTTCAGGTCCTTCACATGTAGTCCAGAAGCTTTCTTGTGGTTTATGGGCCCAGCCCCAACACTACCTGCATCAGGTGTCTTCACTGCCTCATCCTTCCCTTTCTTACTGCTCAACTGATCAGCTGTGCTGATGCCTGTCTTCCATGTACATGTACCTCTGCAAGGACAGGAACTCTGTGTGGCCATCACACCCATGGGCCACTACACAGGACCTTCCAGGCACCTGGCACCAGACTCTCAAGCAGATGAATGGACTCACAAGATCAAACAAGATGATGTGCACAAAATATCTACCAGTGTTTCTAGAACATAGAGGCTTTGGGGGTACAGTTGATTGTTTCACTGAAATGTTCATTCATCATATTACCAAGTGCCTGGCCTCTGGCTCTGAGGATACAGCCATTAATGAAACATGAAAATTTCCCTGCCCCTGTGGGCCATGCATCCTAATATAGTGGGGTACAGTGGCTGGGGGTGAGGGGTGGAATAAGTGTCATTTCCTTTCTCCTCTTTCAGCCTCCTCCCTCACCCTCTACCATGCCCCCTCCCCTTCTCTCCTGGCTGTCTCTGCTCTCTTGACTCTCAAAGGTCACCAAACTGCAGCTTCTTCCAGAGCTGCCTCAGTGAGGGAAGAGGGTTTTAGTAGACCCAGCTGCTATTCAGGCTCCTGGAAGGACAATCTTTTTCTATCTGAGCGAGATAAATAGGTCAGGAGTAAAATTAGAAAATCCAAACCCAAGTCCTAGTGAAGTGGTACAATGTAAATGCTATTGCAAGCTGCTAAGCCACTTGCCTTCTCTCCTGTGACACAAGACTGAAGAGTGCATCCTAGGGCACCTGCAAGAGCTGCAGAGCCAGCCAGGAGCCTTTCCCAGCCCCCCATGAGAGGCTAAGGCAGGCTGTGACCCATGACTCTCTGCAGTTCCAAGCTCAGGACTTGTGAGGAAGTCATCATCACCAGAACAACTCACCCCTGAAGGTGATGGCTCAAGAAGAGCCCGCTGTCTGCATCACACCCTAGGGAGCATTTGGACCCCTCCTGCCACCAGGCAGGGGCCATTGCTCCACCGCAGCGTGTCTCATTTTACCTTGACCCATTTAGGTTCCAGCTTAGCAAGCTGCCAGCTAAGCTGACATTAACTGTTCAGGACACATTGTGTTGTTCATCCTTGCCACAGGTAATTTGTTTCCTGACATGCCACTTAACAGCCAGAGTATTTTAAATGCATGGGGCTCTTAAGCTTGTGACCAGTTACAGGAGGGGGTTCTCCACACATACCACCACTTACAAACTCCTGCTGTGTTTGCTTATGCACAGAACAGTGAGATGATAAAGTCACCTTGTTTTTGTTGCAGAAATTTCCAGAATTGAAATTCAAATATGTGGAAGAGGAGCAGCCCGAGGAGTTTTTCATCCCATATGTCTGGTCTCTGGTCTACAACTCAGCAGTAGGCCTCTACTGGAACCCACAGGACATCCAGCTGTTCACAATGGATTCTGACTGAGGCAGGGTGTACTCCTGCCCACACCACAGCCGGACAGCCCTGCTAGTTGTTTTATTCAAGGGAACAGAAACAGACAGGTCGCCGATGTGTCTTCTGTCACATGAGTGTTCCCCTCTCACACTGTGGAGAATTGGTGCCAGCTGGCCATAGATCACTCAGCTTAGATTGTAGTACAGGGAGGGGTGTGCACAACAACAATAAATGTAAAGTCTGCTATTCAACATGCATTTTTATTTCTAAACCAAAGTGTGGAGCTTTCCCAGGATCCTGATGCCTTAGAAACACAACATTTGAACAGTACTCACTAATTTTAAGATTTTTATTTTGGTCGCGCGTACGTGTGTGTGTGTGTGTGTGTGTGTTGTTTAAGTGCCTGCCTCTCAGTGACCCACACGTTCATAAACACTCTACTATCCCTGGGCAGCATGACACTAACCTCTTCAGACTCTTCTTCATCTTTCCCTTAGAAAAGGGAAAGGGCTCCTTTGCTGGAGATTTGGTTTCTGAGTTGTAGCTGGAATTCAACTGGTGCCCAAAACAAATTGAGTTAAACTTTTCTGCATTAATCATTGGGAAAAGAAAAACTTAATTTTGAAAGCAATCTTCTCCTTCAATGAGGCCAGCAGGAGCAAAAGAAGACCAATTTATTGATATTGTGTTCTATATGAGATGAAAAATGTGATTTTTCTCTGTTTCTGGTTTTTTTACCTTTATATATTTTATTAGTACATATTTGCCATACATATTGGTCACATTCATCATAGAGAGTTTGTAACTGTACATAATATATCCTGATTCTTTTTTTTCTATTTCCCTCCCTTCCCCTCAACTTTTTCCTCTCTCCATTTACAAAAGTTTTGTTCTTATCTTTTCCTTCTAATTTTTTGCCTTTTCCCTTCCTTTCCCCCTCCTGCATCCCTTCCTCTTCATTTGAACATGTTCTTCCTATTTCCCAGTATCTGTCCTCCATTATGCTCTTTGTTTACTCTTTGGTTTTCTCACAGAAGAAAAACAATGTGATATTGAAATGTGTCCAATTTGTTTCACTTAAGATCATGGTCTCAAGGTGCATCCATTTTCCCACTGGTGAATAATACTCCACTATGTATAAATACCACATTCTCTTTATCCATTCATCTGTTGATGGGCAAATGGGTTGTTTCTAAGATGTAGCTATTATAAATTGTGCTGCTATAAACATGGCTATGTATATTTTCTTAGTTACTTTTCTCATTGCTGAGACAAAATACCCAGTACCCAAAGTTAAACAAGGAAAGGTTTATTTAGCTCACATTTTATAGAGGTTTCAGCCCATAATTGGATGGCTCCAAGGCCGGGTGGCAGATCACAGAAGGGCAACAGTTCATGGTGCTGGAGAATAACAAAAGCAAAAAGAGGGCGTCTATCGGTTAGCTCAGTTGTTTAAGTGCCTGCTCATGCAAATACCACAGGCACAGGATGCCGCGGTTCAATCCCCAGTTCTACCTGCCAGACCCACCCTTAAGGCAGCCTGAGCCAGCCCAAAAAAAAAAAATCATTCTCAAAAGCAGCAAGAGCAAAAAGGAGAAGAATAAGCCTCTTTCTGTCCCTTATATTATATGCAGGCTACCCACATTAGGGTGGGTGTAACACTCACACCCATAATCCCGGCAGTAGACCATGTATCACAAACTCTAGATTTAGCTACCTATGAAAAGCCTGCCCTCCATGACTGTATGAGGCTTTGAGGGGAGACATCTAGACACAAATCACAACATTCCATCCCTGGATCCCCAAGTACTTGTACATTTCTCTATGCAAAAGATAGTCCATCTCTAAAAATTGCCAAAACTCTTAACAGTTTCAGTATTGCTGAAAAGTCCAACTCCCAAGTCTCCTCTGAGATTTAAGGCAAACTTAGCTGGGAGCCCCTGAACAAATGAAAAGAAAGTTAAACACTTCCAATATCCAGTGGCACAAGAAAGACATTACAAATGGGGATATAAAGAAATGGGACCAAAGCAAATCAAAAATCTAGCAAGGGCGGGGGCCTGGCCCTAGCTCAGGCCTTTAAGTGGCTGCTTCCACAAAGCTGTCAGCCTCAGGTTGCTGGAGTTCGAACCTCACACCTCTCCAGCTGGCCAAAAGTGCCCTGAAGGCATTCGAGGAACAAAAAAAAAAAGACTTATTCCATTTGGGGGGCCTGGCTCTAGCTCAGCCCTTTAAGTGGCTGCTTCCGCAAAGCTGTCAGCCTCAGGTTGCTGCAGTTCAAACCTTACAACTCTCCCGCTGGCCAAAAGTGCCCTGAAGGCATTCGAGGAACCAAAAAAAAAATCTAGCAAGGGAGACATTGTGTCCTACAGTTCCACTTCGAGCATCCCCAGAAATCTGTGACGAGTTGTGAACTCCACGGGACTTGGATTCAACCCTAGGCATGGGTTGTATTTGTAGCTCCCATGGCTTCTGTCTTGGGCTAGCTCTGCTGCCTCCTTGCAGTTCTCAGATGATCCATGTTGTTGGCTTCTACTAACTTCTAGAATCTCCAGTGCACCTTTGGCTTCGCATGCACAGTTTCATACTCTGCCCTCAGAAGCACACTGCCTGGCCTCTCATGCCTTCTTCTGAAAACAGAGCAGAAGCCTTCCTGACTTCACAACAATTCCATTCTTCATGCACCTAAAGCCAGATGCACATGGATGATGCCAAGGTCTGCTGCCAGCCGAAGCAGTAGCCAGGCTTACTTCTCCCTTGGCTGTAGGGGACAAGTGCCTGGATCCCCGAAAACTCAGAATCCAATTCTGAGAAACAAATTCTCTGTGCTGTCACCATCCTGGAACTGGTGTGGCCCCTGCCATTTTGAAACATGGTGTGGCTGCTGCCATTCTGAAGCATGGTGCTCTGGGGTTTCACAAAGCAGTCTTGCTTTTGCAGTTTTGAAGCTGTGGAATCCTGCTGCTTCTTGTGATGCCCTCAGGCCATCTTTATATTTTCCTATTCCTTCTCAACTAAATGAAGATCTCCTCTATTCTCTCTTTGTAGTCCACAGCTTTATTGGAGCTTTCTTTCTGGCAAAACTCACATTTTAAATCATTCTTCTGGGCTCTTTGCTCTTGATTCTCAACATAAATCTGGCTAAAAACTCCCAACAATAGCCTGCTACCCTTACTCTCAGTCTCAGACAAAGTCTCTGGACATAAGGAAAATACAGACAAACTTTCTGCCACACCATAACACACATCTGGAGTCCAACAACCAAAATAGTGTTTTCTTTCCAGCAGAAACTTTCCAAGCCTGATCTTTACTGACAGAATAATGTATCAATCCTTCTGGTCTTTCTGACCAGAATCTCCCATACAGAACAGCCTAAGGGGTTCCCACTCTGTTTTTTCAGCCAGTTTCTCCAAACTTTTCCAGATTCTTCCCACAAGCCATTCCCAAAGACTTCTGAACCACATGGTCAGGTTTAGTAACATCAACAACCCCACTCTTGGTACCAGATTTGTTGTAGTCAGGGTTTGTAAGGGAATAGACATAATACAGAGTACATAATTTATAGCATTGTTTTATACTATTCACCCAAAAACACAAATGCAAAAGAGTGCAAGTGATCTATGTTCTAGATCACTAGAACATAGTGATCCAGCTGGGTGGTAGATACTGGGTGGTAGATACTATGGCAGTGTTCTGAACAAGTCCAACTAAAGACCTAAGAACCTACAGCAATATCCTCCATGAGTCCAGCTGGAGATCTGCAGCCATAACAATGTCCCATGCAATTCTGTGTCAAGTACCTACACTGGGAAGGCCCAAAGATAGTGGTGGTAGCTATGAAGTCTGCACCAGCAGGATGAAGGATCTGTGCCAGCAGGCTAAGAAATCTACAGTGCAGCTAAGAACCAGCACTCACGGTAAGGACCAGAGCTCCCTCTAGAAGAACTGTAGCCATTGTCAGTGACATAACCTGAGGTCCTCTTATGATAAAAGCTGAGTTAATATCAGGAAAAGCAGCATGAAAAGGTTTTCCAGGAGGACCAACACACCATCTTTCCATCCAATTCTCCTTTTGTGCTCTTGGCAACAAACCTCAGATGGGCCTTGTATACCCAGATTCAGTTCAGCTAAATGTCACAAGGTAGCCATTAGTTAATTCACCACAGTCCATCCCTGGTCAACTTGATAAGCAACACACTTCCTTAAACCATAGTCTTCAAGGGCAGATTTGTCAAAAGTTAAAATGTCAATCTATTCAGATTTACTTTAATATAACAATTACATATATACAATTCTTATTTTTATTTTTTTATTTTTTTATTTTAAAGAGAAACAAGAACAAAGTCAGAAACAAATCAACATAAAACAGTAAAAATGGTACAGAATTTCAAAACAAGAATAGAAAATTAACAATGGTTGTTATACCTATGTATTGTTATAAAATTTGTTGCTCAGATTAACAGATACAGGCATGCAAGATTTATCAGTTCAACATTAACTTTTATTTTAATGAGAACTAACAATGAGACAGTTTCAAAACAGAATAGGACAGTTACAATAATTAATACATTGCATATTGTTGTCTTCATAGTTATTCAGAGCACAAATGCAGACATGATATCTTGTCTAAACTATCAGTACAAATCTCATTGAACTAAGAGAAGGTAGCTCTAAATCCTATTTTTTATATACAGATACATTTTTTTCAACTACAAAATCACAATTCTTATTATATTCATTTCCATACCAAAAGCAAACATTCAAAGAGTGCTCAAAATTCAAGGTTAAAACCACAATACTTTGACTAAATAACCTAATTACAAGACTGGGCATGGTGGCATGCACCTGTAATCCCAGCTCTTAGGAGACTATAAACAGGCAGATCACTACAAGTTAGATCTAGTAGTGACACCTTGAACACCCTACAGACACTTTTGTAAAATACCAAAAAAAAAAAAAAAAATAATTACAAACATGTATCTAAAAACTACATTAAAATCATATTAAAAGCTATTACAATCACAATCCTTGCTTCCCATTAACTTTTAATAACAGGGCATGGCAATACTAAGAAATGCCCCAAGGGATCTCCTGCATTACAAATACACTCTTCCCTTCTGGTAAAAGGCCTTAGGTCATTTTTTTATTGTCCTGTACCTCAACAACCATGTTCTCTGTTTCATCTTTGCAATCCACAGCTGCACTGGAGCTTCCCTCTGGCCAAATGCTTCAAACCAC